TGACGGTGTGAGCAGAGGAGAGGCCTAAATATTTAATGACATGAACTCTTTGTTTGCTCCAGAGTTACATGCAGTGACCAACAGAGGGCCATCTTAAACAGGATCACTTCTGAAACACCACAGAAGAAGAATCAGTTAACACAAAGTTACAGAACAGAGCTTTGAAAACATGCTGTCAGATTAAATGTATATTAACCCATACTAACATAAATAAGATAGAGTGTACAGGGAATACCCTCTTGTCTTATTTAAAAATACTTTCATCTGTCATGTCTCCTGTGGTGTCTTATTATATATATATAAAACTTTTAAATTTATGTGTTTCTTTTCTTTCTGTTTCAGGTTTAACAAAGAAAATCATCATCAGGTGAGTGTTTAATAATTACACTTTTTGTTATCATTCAACATGAATGTGTTAATATACTGTATAAATACTCTATCCTTTATGTCAGAACCCGTAACATTCACTTTTATGACACGTTCTGACTCCACTCTCACTTTCTTCCCAGAATCCTTTGCACTGACCTAGCCTAGGCTCCTGCTGGTCTCATCCCAGAATCCTTTGTGCTGACCTCGTGGAGGCTCCTGCTGATGATGAGCGTTTAAACCTCAGTCTGACACTATCCGACCTCCACAGCCACCATGAACCCCCAGGAGACGGAGCTTGGCCAGGAGGTGACGGAGGAGACTGACGCCCCTCCTCGCCATAGCCACAACAACCAAAACAGCCGTTCCCGCAACCATGACAAACGCTACAGACGCAGTGAAGCTGGAGCAGCTGCTGGCAGCAGAGTAAGAGCAGCACAGCAGCGCTGCCCACAGGAGGAGCCAGATGTGGAGCTGCAACCAGAAGCTCCTCTGCCACAGCCCCACCTGCCCATCCCCCGACCCGCAGTGGCACGGTACCGCAGACAGGGGGACAGCGAGGCGAGGCTCAGGGCGCAGCAGCAGAGACACAGACTCAGGCAACAGAGGGAGGCAGAGCGCGTTCAGCAGCGCCACACCGAGGACGAGGACCGAGATCGGGACGACTCTGTGCTTGCACGCTCAGCCAGCACTGAGAGCGGCTTCCACGCTCACACGGACCGTGCCGAGGGCGATGACAGCCTGCTAGTGATGTCACTTGATTCTGAAGGCCAACCGGAGGCCGAAGACGAGACGGGGAACTACGGGGTCCAGCTACGACCAGAAGCAGAGGGATACACTGAGAGTGCTGAGGCTGAACAGCATCATGTCAATCCACATCTTTTTAGTCCTCATCCCCGCCCACGTGACCCCATCCCTGATACCCAGAACCCCCAGAGACCAGGTGAAACCGAGGACATGATAAACACCGGTTACTCCAACTACGTGTACACACAGCCCCTCAATCCTCACGGGGGGGAGGAGGAATTCTCAGCCAATCAGAGATTAGACAGTTTGGACGCTGGGCTGGTAGAAGAGGCGTACTCGGAGCCGTACGACATTTACTCTTTCTCTGAACACGTTTACGAGGAAATCTGTGACGTAGCGTCCTCTGGTCCTCCGGCTGAAGTTGGTGCTGAGTCCCTCCAGCAGAGGAGGGCTGGCTTCCAGCTGTTTGACGGTCAGTCAGGGGACGGAGACTTCCACCAGCAGGAGGCGGTGGGATCCCGTCTGCGTCACTACGACGAGCGCTCGGACGGAGAGTCTGACAGTCCAGAGAAGGAGGCAGAGTTTGCCCCGTATCCTCGCGCTGACAGCTGTGATCAGGAGGAGGACGTCGAGCACGCTGGGGCCGAGATCAGACAGAGCGTGTGTGCTCACAGTCTGCATCACACTGTTGGAGACACCATAGAAGAAGAAACTGAGCTTCCTCCAGGAGAAGATAAAGTCCACTCTGAGACCGAAAACCACCAAGCTGTGGGACAATTAAAGCTGGGCAGGAAACTGACTGTGAGTCCCTCAGAGGAGGCGGAGTCGGCGAAGAGCAGTCAGGAGAAGAGAGACGCCATTTCTCTCGCCATCAAGGACATAAAGGAGGCCATCGAGGAGGTGAAGACCCGGACAGTCAGGTCTCCTTACACACCTGATGAACCCAAAGAGCCGGTCTGGGTGATGAGACAAGACCTGAGCCCGAGTGCAGAGTGTGACCTGCAGCCACCACCAGGGGGCGATGTGAGTACAGCAGTTACTGTCTGATCATTATTATAAATATTACAACTATAGATATCAGATATTTATAAACATATCAGTCACAAATATATAAAAAATAATAATATATTAATCAAAACTGAATTTAAGTCATGTGAGGTTTTCCTCCTCCTCCCCCGTGCCACCCTGATTTATTGATGAGGTGAGTCAGACAGGTAGAGGGTGAGACAGGTTCAATAATTCAGTGAGGGTCAGATGGCAGAGCGAAAGGAGAGTTTGAATGTTTCCATCAGATCAGACCTGCAGCCGAACAACAACCTGCAGCCTGAACTCAGGGTTTAATAACCCTTACAAAAAGGCGTTAATGTGTTCATACGGAGTACATTCATGTGTTCATACGGAGTACATTCATGTGTTCATACGGAGTACATTCATGTGTTCATACAGAGTACATTCATGTGTTCATACGGAGTACATTCATGTGTTCATACAGAGTACATTCATGTGTTCATACAGAGTACATTCATGTGTTCATACGGAGTACATTATGTGTTCATAAAGAGTACATTCATGTGTTCATACGGAGTACATTATGTGTTCATAAAGAGTACATTCATGTGTTCATACAGAGTACATTATGTGTTCATACAGAGTACATTCATGTGTTCATACGGAGTACATCATGTGTTCATAAAGAGTACATCATGTGTTCATACAGAGTACATTCATGTGTTCATACGGAGTACATTCATGTGTTCATACAGAGTACATTCATGTGTTCATACAGATTACACTATGTGTTCATACAGAGTACATTCATGTGTTCATACAGAGTACATTCATGTGTTCATAAAGAGTACATCATGTGTTCATACAGAGCACATTCATGTGTTCATAAAGAGTACATCATGTGTTCATAAAGAGTACATCATGTGTTCATACAGAGCACATTCATGTGTTCATACAGAGTACATCATGTGTTCATAAAGAGTACATCATGTGTTCATACAGAGTACATTCATGTGTTCATAAAGAGTACATCATGTGTTCATAAAGAGTACATCATGTGTTCATACAGAGCACATTCATGTGTTCATACAGAGTACATTCATGTGTTCATACAGAGTACATCATGTGTTCATAAAGAGTACATCATGTGTTCATACAGAGCACATTCATGTGTTCATACAGAGTACATTCATGTGTTCATGTGTTCATACAGAGTACATTCATGTGTTCATACAGATTACATTCACGTGTTCATACAGATTACATTCATGTGTTCATGTGTTCATACAGAGTACATTCATGTGTTCATACAGATTACATTCATGTGTTCATGTGTTCATACAGAGTACATTCATGTGTTCATACAGAGTACATTCATGTGTTCATACAGATTACATTCACGTGTTCATACAGATTACATTCATGTGTTCAAGTGTTCATACTGAGTACATCATGTGTTCATACAGATTACATTCATGTGTTCATACAGAGTACATTCATGGGTTCATTCCAAACTGCAACCTCCGGTCTTGAGAAATGAAGCCAATGCGAAAGTGTAAAATCCTGCAGTATGTCGAGTGTCTGCTTGAGGCTCCAGGAACCATGGAAGTCACGAACACATGACTGGCAAAAAAGCTGTTTTTTACAGTATAAATTAACATGTTTACAGCCTGGTACAAAAACAGAAATAGGTCTGATTAGTTATTGTCAACACTGGCACACACACACTGTACGAGGGGTGAATTAAAAAAAAAAAAAAAACGGCTTTGGTGTTATCCATAGTTAGGTGCGTAGCAGACATGATTGACAGGTGGGTGCGATGTAACGGTTGACTTAAAGTTAGGCTGAGACAGGATCTCCAGCAAGGCGGCTGCTGCTGACGAGCTTCTGGACCCCCCTTCAGTAACAGATGGGGGACGTCACTCAGGCTTCCTCCATTAATATTTACAGTCTAATTTTCATACAGAGAACATTCATATGTTCATATACAGTGCATTTAACGCATTCATATATAAAATCTAAAGTTGATATATGTATTATATTCATAATACATGAATACAGAGACATACAGAGAGTGAGTTTCACACATTCATCTCATCAGTTATTAAAGGTATAAAGTGTGTTTTCTGGTTGGTTGGTGACACAGTGAACAGATGTTCATGTATTCATGTATAGAGAGTTTATTCATATGTTCATTAATGGTGACACAGTGAACAGATGTTCATGTGTTCATGTATAGAGAGTATATTCATGTGTTCATTAATGGTGACACAGTAAACAGTTCCAGGTTGATGATGCAGAGCTGAATCCTGATACCTGAGTGTTACCTGAGCTCTCAGGTGTTGTATTTAAACAGCAACCGCCTCTCTAAACATCAGTGTACCTGCAGCAGCTACCGAGTCAGTTTGTTCAGAGAAAACATGGAGAACTTCTGGATGTATCAGGTCGAGAAGCTGGAGGAGGAACAGAGCAAACAGGAGGAGCGGCGAGAGGCAGAGGAGGAGGAGGTGTGCTCAGTTTTATAGATTAAATATGTTACCTGTGTGATGACATAGTGACAGGTGTTGTAGACATAGTTTATTACATATCTATAGTTTATGATTTAGTTGTGTATAGAGATGGTTTGGTGATATATGTTATAGAGATGTATGGGTTATCGTTTGATGTTTGATAAAATGCGTTGGACCCTGAGGTGAATTAGCTGATGGTGTTTTATATTTCAGGAATCATTTCATTGTTTCAGACGACAGGTGATGATTTTATAACGTTAACAGATTAGTATGATGCTCAGGATTTACAGCAGATCTTACAGTTAGTTTTCTGTTTGTCACAAACAGTTTTATAATAAACCTACAGAACAGCTGCCTGAGGTGAAGACGAACAAGTTTTCACACAATTTTCTGCAGTGTGAAAAACTGTAAAGATACTCTTAATGTAAAACATCCTCCATTTGTTTTCTGTCAAAGTACAACAAAAGCACATTTAAGAAAAAATGCGCTTAAAGTTAGAGATATTTCAAGTTAAAAACGGCAGTATGTTTTAAACATTGTAACACTTAACTAAGCAGTTTTTACAGTTTTGATTTGTGGAATAGCTCCTCTTTTTGGTGATTTTATAAATCCCTTTTATAGCTTTAAATTGTGAGAAGTGACTGTAAATTAAGTTAGATGGTGACATCATTGTTTTCTAAAACCTGAACAGACACATGAGCAGGTGTTTTCAAACCTGTTAGACCAGAACTGACATGGAGCAACAAAAAGGGAAAAACAGACCAATATCTGTAGTGGAAACTGATCAGAGTTTATTTATCATTAGGTCATGGACAGACCTGCCGCTCACTAACCTAAATCTGCTGTAAGACAGCGGCAGGTTAATTAATCATTTACAGGTGCAGTCGTCTATTCCTGACTCCATGCCATAGACTGTAAATATTAATGGACGTAGCCTCATTGACATCACCCATCTGTTACTGAAGGGGGCCTGGAGGCTCATTGGCAGCCGCCTCCATGCTGGAAATGCTGTCTCAGCCTAACTTTCAGTCAACCTAACGACAGGCTGAGAGCTGGAGCTGTGGCGGGTTTTAAACCTCCTGACAAACTGCTATGTCACCACCAATTGTCAATTAGGTCAGCTACGCGCCTCACTAGGATAACATGTATCATTCATAAAATCAAAACTGATGCGTCTGCCTGCGTTTGTACTAGACTTTAAACATGTTAACAGGCTTTTTTAAATGTGGTGTGTATGTGACTTCCGGGGCTCTTGGAGCCAGCCTCAAGTGGACCCTCGATGAACTGCAGGATTTTGCACTCCCATTGGCTTCATCTTTCAACACCAGAGGTTGCCTCTTGCTCCATGCATAGGCTGAACAAATACCAATGTGTGACAAATAGGACGGGTATGGTTCTCACTGACACAGATAGCAGCTAATAAGTGCTAACATGTAATACAATAATTTTATAATGTGAAAGTAGGGTTAGGGTTAGGTGAGAACAGAAAAAGGTCAGATCAGAGACAGGTGAGCAGGTGGATGTATAAGCTGATGCCTGCAGAATGTTGTGTTGTGATGTGTTTGTGCTTTCTGAGATGATTTGTTCTGATGTTTTGTCTCTGAGCTGCGGCTTGTCCTGCTGGTTTGTTAGCTCTTGTGAACAGCAGGAGACGATCACTGCTGTGCCTGGTAGACCTCGTCATGTTAAACCCATAAACCCTGACCAAATATTAAGACATGGATAATCGAGTAACGCTTAAATATAATCTTTTTAAAAATGGTATAATGATGAAGCAACAGAGCAGATTTTTTTTTTAAACTCAACCAAGCAAGGACCTTAAAGTGTCTGAGAGCAATTCAGTCATGACAGAAACTGAAAAGAAAATTAATATAAATATTAACCCAGATGATTTTAAATCAGATGAGGAGATAGATGATTGTTTTAATTATTTTCTTCAGAGGTTTAAAAATCACATATTTAACTTGTTTTAGACAAGTTTAAATAAGTCTTATAGCTCCCCAAAACATGTCTGTGAAGTTTCTTGTTATAAATCCACTCGGATCCTGTATTTGATCATGTCTTTAAACCCCTCTATTTCAGCCCTGCTCAGAACAGGCTGTTTCTGTGTCTGTACCTTTAAATACAAATGAGCTGTGTGTGACCACGCCCCTCTGGGAGGCCTTGGGTGGCTGGAGCTTTTTGCTCCATGCCTGATTGTTTACAGTGAGAATGCAGGCTCAGAGGGCAGAACAAACACCTAGCTGTGGGAGTGTCAACCAACTGGGGGATGGGTTACTGCCCTTTGTGATGTCACAAAGTATTTTGCACAATATGTGACCTTTAATACAAATGATTTTGATGAAATGAAGTCGATGAGTTAAGAATGATAAAACTGTCTCCACATGTCAGAAAGATACTAAAACCAACAGGAGTGGTTAATGAAGCTGTTTGAACTTGTTTTTTTTACACATGGACATGTTCATTTATTGTTTTTAGATTTATTTTCTGCTTTAAAAGATTTTAACTGCTCTCATACTTCAACCTGTTTCCTGACTTTTGGTGGACGTAAGACTGATCTCAGAATGTGACGTAAAACAGAGACACAGAGCTGTGTCCTCTCACTTGTTTTATACATTTTATACCCTGAGGTTCCTAATGAGGAAGACATATTGTGAAATTTGCAGATAGCACAGTCACAGTCAGCTAACATTCAGTGAAAACACAGAAGCTGTCTGTGAGAGTCACCAGCGTGGCCTCAAACTAAACTGTGTGGTTGTTGTAAATGAACATACTGTTCTTCAGCTGCAGTCCATCCTCACCTTTGGCTTCATCTCCTGGTTTAATGACCTTTTATTCAGAGACAGAAACAGGCTACACCGGATCATTAAAGTTGCCTGTAAAATCACTGGTGTTAAATTAGCCGACCTGTCTCAAACCTTTAGAGTAACATCCAAGATCTCTCAGTGTCCTCGACCTCTTCGAGTTTGAGCTCCTCCCTGTCGAGGAAATTTGGATAAACTTGACTTCACTCATGAAAGATTCAGGAGACTCAGACGACTTAAGTTGAGGATGTTTATATATGACTCACGAGGAGAAATGACATTGTCTTGCCAAGCCAGTTCTGTCAGACCGTCCCATAGGCTTCGTATTTATCCAACAGGAGGTTCAGGTTACCGACGGTAGTAGAAATACTCCCATCTCTCAAGAACACAACAAGATGACTGATGATGGTTTACTTTCTCTTTTAACATGTACTTCATTTCTATTTGCCTGTGTTTTCTATTTTTTATGGTTTTATCTGTCTGCAAATTAACTTATCCTCTGAGAAGTTGAAGTAGAAGTGTAAACACGCAGGAGGAGAGGAGCAAAAAGCAGGCAGTAACAGGCAGACAGGTGTAACACAAGGATTTGTTACCTTTATAAAAAACCTTCTGACAGGACGGCAGGTCAAAGTAAGAAAACAGGGGAAGTGCAAACAGACGAGATGAAGCATAACTACAAGGCTCAGTGAGTGCGATAGATGTGTGCAGTGAAGACAGGTGAGCGAAGACTTTCAGGTAACTGCAGGGTAAGAATAATAATAATATGAAAGCACATCTTTGAAGTGTTCAGACTCTTCAGTTCCAAAGATCAGTTTGTGCTCTGAAACATGTGATGTTCTGAAGCTATTGTTATGATCTGTAATACTGATCACTTCATGTGCTATCTAAAGAGGATTCACAGATTGTTTGGTGCTCCTTCTCGTCCTCCTTCAGTCTCCTCGTTCGGGCTCCCCGTCTCCTCCAGGAGCCGAGTCTTCCAGCCTCCACTTGCTGCAGGACCACACCTTTGACTCCTCCCCCTCCACTACTGAGGTCAGAGTTCAATCGATTCTAACAGATTCTATTATTCTAAACAGATTGTTTTATTCTAACTTGATTACATTATTGTTAACACATTATGTTGTTATGAACATTTGTTTATAATGTGTTCTGTCTTTTTTTTTTTTTTACATCAACATGAACCTGTATGCTTATATTTATTTTTCTGTTTATGTTTAGTCCAGGAGAAGTCTGGCCTCCTTCCCCACATATGTAGAAGGTAAGAGCGCCCTCCTCTGCACAGGAGGTTTAAAAACATGGCAGCTATTTTAATCAATGACTGTTAGAATGACTGATAACATGATGTGTAACCTGGTGAGATTAATTAGTTTAAATCACAGATTTATAGAAAGGAATGACAAAGTGTTTGTGTGTAAGGGGGGTTAATTATAACACATTGACACTGAGCCCCCTGCCCTTCAGTCCCAGGTCCATGTGACCCTGAGGACCTGATCGATGGGATCATCTTTGCTGCGAACTACCTCGGCTCCACCCAGCTGCTGTCGGACAAAACGCCTTCCAAAAACGTACGAATGATGCAGGCGCAGGAGGCCGTCAGCAAGATAAAGGTTTATATTATTATTTTTTTTATTATTATTATTATTATTATTTATTGTTTTTTACTTTATGTGTTGTAACAACTTTCTTTTCATAAAAAAGGTTTAAATCCTCAGAGTTGACCTCGGAGCCAATTATAGTAATAGTCATTAAATGGAAGTGAATTATTATACAATAAGTAAACAAACAGAGTGATGATGGAGTCTGAACAAGTCTAAACAAGCATTTAAAACAACAGAGACCTCTTCTGGTGGAATAGGGTTACTGCAGATTCATTGAGTTCATGAGCTCCATGGTGTCAGTAGACTCCATCAGTGATTATTTTATGAACATTGTAATATAATTAATACGACCTGACAGCAGACTTAATCTGTTTTCAGCTTAGATTTAGGATTGTTGTATCAGCATATTTTACCTGTGAACATAGTTCAGGTGTGATAGAACAACCTGTGATCTGTCCGAGCTCTAACTCTTCTTCTCTCTCTTTTTTTCCTGCAGACGGCCCAAAAAGTTGCACAAAACAGGAAGAAGGTGAAGTACCTTTCTACCTGTCTCCTCCTCCTCCTCCTCCTCTCTGTTTGTGAACAGCTGTTTTTCTCCTTTTGTCTTTAGAGAGAGACAGTGTGTTTACATGCTTAGTTAAATGGAGCTATAGTATCATATGCACTATCAAGCTTTAGATTTATTACTCAATTTAATTGGACTACTGTCCTTGTCCCAGTACACAAGCATCGGGGGAGAATCTGTTTATCAAAAGAAGTATGTCTGACTCGTCTACAGTTGAGTACAGTACCCCTTTCAGCTAGTTACTATTGGACCGTCTTCCTGCTGACCTATCACGTACCAAACAATCGACAGTGGTCATTCCTCATTTTTCTTCGATCCATATCCTCTAACATGTTGACCTCCTCCTGCGGACTCAACATGTCCTGTGTACCTTTGTCTGTTTCTCTCTCCAACAACTCTCCATTTTGATACCTTCGTTGTGTTTTCTTACCGGCAAAGCCCAGCGTGGGAACTGTGGAGCATGCTCAGAATGTCTAGTCCAGTTTGGATCTGATTGAAATGTAATCATGTAAGAGTAAATAGGTGTGATAGCCTGACTTGGAGAAAGTCCACATAGAATGACATCATATAAATTTACTGACTGTGTGTGTGCGTGTGTGTGCGTGTGTGTGTGTGTGTGCGTGTGTGTGTGTGTGTGTGTGTGTGTGTGTGTGTGTGTGTGTGTGTGTGTGTGTGTGTGTGTGTGTGTGTGCGTGCGTGCGTGCGTGCGTGCGTGCGTGCGTGCGTGTGTGTGCAGGCCCCTGAAGGTGAGCCTCAGCCAATGACAGAGGTGGATCTGTTCATCTCCACACAGAGAATCAAAGTGCTGAACGCCGACACACAGGTGATACACAAAAAACACACTGTTACACAACACAACACATGAAGTACTTTAATCAGCCTCATCACTTTTATTTCAGCAGTTTATTAATCATTAAAGCTTCTCGTTGGTCTGGAGGGACCTGTGAGAAATTAAGCAACTCATCTCTGAGATATTGAAACAGAACAAACATCAGATTATAATCCAGACTGATAATCTGCTAAATGATTCACAGAAGCGATTATAACACAGTTAATGGAGTTAAATGGATGTTGGCTGTGTTGTTTTGTTTGCTCAGTTTGTTCCTCAGATTTCTATAAACTCTGCTGTGTTTATATTATATTTATGTTTCTCTGCTCACCAGGACACCATGATGGATCATCCTCTGAGGACCATCTCCTACATTGCTGACATCGGGAACGTGGTGGTTCTCATGGCTCGCCGCAGGATGCCCCGCGCAGACTCCCAGGAGCACCTGGAGGCCTCCGACCCGGGTCAGGACAGCAAGCGGCAGTACAAGATGATCTGTCATGTGTTCGAGTCCGAGGATGTGAGTCCAACTTTTTAAATCTTTATAGATATATTTATTACAAAGACTATGGTATATGCATTGTATAAAACTACTGCGTATATCTCTCTCTATATATATAGACAATACAAATTTATACTGTTTATAAAAACACTGACTGATAAGATATAGACAATTTCAAATATATACTATGATAGATGGACTGATTAAAATTATATAGAATATACTGTACATAGAAAGACTTTCTATAAAAAATTGACATTTGTATACTGTAAATGAATACATACAGACTGTTCAAAATATAGACAGTTATATTAATGAACTGTATACAAATATAAAGACTGTATAAAAAAGTATATAGCTAATCTTATATATAGACTGTATATAAGTATATAGTGTTCAACATTAAGATCATGTCTTTGGACTATGGGTGGACCCATGCATGCCCAGGGAGAACATGCAAACTCCACACACAGTGGCTCCTGTCCGACGGGGGCTTGCTCACTGTGAGGCAACAACGCTAACCACTGCAGCAATAAAAATGAATAACAACATTTTAAAATAAAACAATCATATAATAATAAACAATAAAAACACAAATGTATCAGCTTATCAATCAAATATACAATTAAAACCAATACAAACAAAATGGGAAAAGAAAATTACAACCTAATGGAAAGTCACTAATCAATCGATCAATCTTTATTTGTATAGCACCAATTAATAACAAATGTCAGCTCAAGACACTTTACAAAAGAGAATATAAAAGGCCTTACTCTTTGTTGTATTATTTACTATTACCCAACATTAAACCAAATGTTCGACTTTTTCATCCAGTAGATGTCACCCTTGTGAACCAGCATTAAACCAAAACAAACTGCTGTATGGCGACATCTCTCCTCCTGCAGAGCACCTCCAATCCCCATCCACTCAAGTTGAGTGAAAACGAAGCAACGTTTAGCAAAGTTACAGCGGCAACGGAAAATTGCCTGTTAAGAGGCAGAAACCTCGAGCAGAACCAGACTCATGTTGAACAGACATTTGCTACTGTGTTGAGCTTGAAAAGTGGGATAGATGGAGATGCAGGAAGAAGGAGATGGATAGAGAGAAACAGAACAGCAACAACAATGAATAAGATAGATTTATAGCTACAATGTCAGTAATAATGGTAAGAGTAAAGGTAGTATGAGCAGTAACAGCTTAGTATGATAAAAGACTGACATTAGAAACTGTAATGATGATGAAACAGGGAGGACTGATAATGTTAATTATAGGCATTGAAGTTGAGCAGCTTTAAGATTCACTGTAATATTTATAATAATGATGATAGCTGTAAGGCTGATATTAATCGATGTAGCAGCCGGCCATCCACACAAACGATTAAGAAGAACCTACGAGACAAGGGAGCTTAGGAGCTCCCAGTAAGATATATGGGTAGTAACTTAAATGGTACATTAAGATTTGCAGATAGTCATATGCAGTAATAAAATGTAAATGCAAACAGATAGAGAAAGAGGGAGAGACATGAGCTCAAGGTGCCAGTGTCTCCTTACAGGCTAAGCCTATCACAGCCTATCTAGGAGCTGGTCCATAACTGTGCCAGCCCTAACTATAAGCTTTATCAAAAGGAAAGTTCTAAGCCTACTCTTAAAAGTACAGAGAGTCTCTGCTGGACCCTGACTGGTAGATGATTGGGGGGGTCAGGTAACTGAAGGCTCCACCTCCCATAGTACATTTAGAGACTGTAGGTACCACGAGCAGGCCTGCATTCTGGGAGCGTAATGTTATCAAAGAGTAATACAACACTATTAGCTCTTCAAGATAAGATGGTGCCTGGCCATTAAGAGCTGTGTAAGTGAGATGAAGGATTTTAAATTATATTCTAGGTAGCCAGTGCAGAGAGGCCTATACAGGAGTAATGTGATCTATTTTCCTAGTTCTAGTCAATACACGAGCCACGGCATTTTTGACCAGCTGAAGAGTGTTTAGAGACTTACCAGGACAGCCTGATAAAATAATTACAATAATCCAACCTGGAGGTAACAAATACATGGACAAATAGAACTTGGACGATGTCACCATCAAGAACAGTTATATCATTAGGAAAAAGTCTCTCTGAGGTTTTTGGGGCCATACAGAATAACTTCAGTCTTGTCTTACTTAAAGGCTTAGTATGCGATTTTTTTGATACAGTAGATGTCGCCCTTGAGCACCAGCATGAAACAATAACAATGAAAATTTATGGAGTCTTTCCTCATAATATAACCCAGAGGAAGCATACATAATGTGAAGCGAATCGGTCCAAGTACTGAACCTTGTGGAACTCCATCACTAACTTTGCTGTGCAATTTAGGACTCATTAACATGTACTAACTGAGATCGATCTGATCAGGATTTCAACCAACTTAAAGCAGTTCCTGTATTGCCAAGTAATTGTTCTAGTCTCTGTAATAGGATGTGACGGTCAAAGATCTAACATGACGAGCACAGAAATAAGTCCCATCTGAGACTCATCGATCATTTGTAACTTTTACCAGTGCAGTCTCAGTACTGCAGTGGGCTTGAAATCCTCACTGAAAATCCTCAGATAAAGTGTTGTAATGGAGAAAGTCACATAACTGACTAGCCACCACTTCTTCCAGATAAACAAAAAAAAAAAAAAAGGTCCTATTACAGATCCCTGTGGTACTCCACATGTTATATCAACAATGCTTAAAGCTCAACTATTAATTATTACATACTGTTCACTTTAACTTATATAACTGGTAAACCATTTCAGAGTGTCACCTTGAAAACCTTATTGTTATCATAATTTAGCAAAAAGATTATTGTTATTGACAACTTCTCTTGGTTAATGTTAATCAAGAAAATAATGTGTATATTATTTATAATTTAATAATAATTATCTAATCTTTAATAGACTGTTTATTGACACATTTAGATTAAATGTATTTGATGTGTATATTCTTATACATATACATTATTTCATGAGAAGCCATCGATGTTGTTGATGATGATGATGATGCTGAAGAAAAAAAAGGAAAATAAAAATTGTCCTCTGCCTCTGTGCACTGCCCGTCAGCACAGAGGGTGGGACATGCTCATCCATTCACATCGACACAATGATGGAAGAGGCTGCTATGTAAAGTACCCATGTAGTAATCACATTCACACAATTATAAAACAATATATTTATGTATTTCCCCCCTCAGGCCCAGCTGATTGCTCAGTCCATTGGGCAGGCATTCAGCGTGGCGTACCAGGAGTTCTTACGAGCTAACGGTATAAACCCGGAGGACCTGAGCCAAAAGGAGTACAGCGACTTGCTCAACACTCAGGACATGTACAACGACGACCTGGTCCACTTCTCGAAGTCTGAGAACTGCAAAGATGTGAGTACAGAAAAATCCAAACACTTATTCTTTGATTTGAATTTGTTTGTGAATTAAAACTTAACTCATAAACTCATTAATGATGTTTAATCTACTACAGCTGCTCGACCAAAAAGTGTCAATCACAACAGCAATGGTACATCAAATAAATAATCATAAAACCAAACTAAAAAATGTAATGTTAAATATTTTTCTGTTATGATGACAACGCTATAAAATGTGTGTTGTTTTTTAAATATCTTCATTATAATTGTTTAGATTAAAGACGTTCTGACCGTGTTGTTTCTGTCAGTCTTCATTATATTTAGATGCTTTTGTTTCTTCTGTCCATCTGTTTAAACATTTTAAAGATTTTTTAGAATAGTTTCTGTCTGTGTGTTGTCTCAGACAGTTTTATTATATTTAAAATGTTGTGGAGTATTTCTGTTTGTTTTCTTATTGGCTGACCTGCTGTGACCTCAGGTGCTCATAGAGAAAGGTAAGGGGGAGATCCTGGGTGTGGTCATCGTGGAGAGTGGGTGGGGCTCCATCCTGCCCACCGTCATCATTGCCAGCATGATGCATGCTGGTCCGGCAGAGAGGTCTGGCAGACTAAACATTGGAGACCAGATCATGTCCATCAATGGGACCAGTCTGGTGGGACTTCCTCTGTCCACCTGCCAGAGCATCATCAAGGTGTGTCTTCATTTTTGATAACAGACATTACAGGTTTATGGTTCAGGGAGCAGAGGGAAGACTTCTCAAATTCTCTCTGCAGGGTCTGAAGAACCAGGCTCGCATCAAACTGAACATTGTCAGATGTCCCCCGGTGACCACCGTACTCATCAGACGGCCTGACCTCCGCTACCAGCTGGGCTTTAGCGTGCAGAACGGCATTGTGGGTAGTTTTGTAATTCTGTTTCTTGGTAGAATTGGATTTTCAGATTTGCTGTTCTATTCATCATGAGAACAAATGCTCTTTTTTATCATCAGATCTGTAGCCTGATGCGGGGGGGCATTGCTGAGCGGGGCGGGGTCAGAGTTGGTCACCGAATCATCGAGATCAACAGCCAGAGCGTAGTGGCCACACCCCACGAAAAGATCGTCCACATCCTGTCTAACGCTGTGGGAGAGGTGAGAGGTCACTCAGCGCACATATGTAGCTAGTTTTCACATGCTCAATAAAATACTTAATTTCCATTGTTCTCTGAATTAACCCTTTGTTGTTTCTGCGTCAGATCCACATGAAGACAATGCCTGCGGCCATGTACCGCCTGCTGACAGCTCAGGAGCAGCCTGTTTACATTTGAAAGGACAGAGTCCCCAATGTTGGTTGCAATGTTGTGTTCTGCAGCCTCGTCTTCATCATAACAACACAAATGTTTGATCTGTTACTGTGTTTAAAGGTAAAATGAGTAACAGAGGGTTTACACCTGAATCACCTGTTCTCTGCTGGAATTTGTATCTGAACATGTGTCAGTCTTAAAACACGTCCGCTCTTCTGAAGTGTCTTTAATGTTCCGATTGGGAAACTCACACAGTTTCTGTCATTGTTAAATAAGAGAAAGCAGAAGTTAGAAACCTTATTTTTATGAGCTTGGCACTTAACCCTGATTGTTGACTATAAGGCAGCCTGCACAGCAAGTCCTGACCTTCACAGCCTGACGCTGCTTTCTGCCATGCTGCTATCTCACTGTCAGACCTCTGCCTGTTTGATGTGCTTTTATTTCCTCCTGTTGTGGAAACATGTAATGAGACCAGCCTGCTTTCACTCTCACATCCCCATCCTAATTACAGTACAAATATTTTACTTTAATTTTAAATTTATAAACCCTGTACAAATGTGTTACTTTACTTAAATGTTACAAAATACTTTATTATGTGTCACTTTAATGGAACACACTGAAACACTGTACAGCGGTGTACTCTGCACGTCACAGACAAACTGAATCTTTTTCATACTTCCTCACATTCCATGTCTGCTGCTTTGTTTGATCTCAGCATTAAAGGTTTGATATTTCATACGCAGAGCTCTCACACTCGGCTGTATCCCCAACGGTGATAATACACAAAACAGGTGAAGTAGCTTCACTAGCTACATGATTTAAAACATCAATCTTACACTATGTAATAAACAACACATCAACACCAACACATCAAACTAACACCATGTAACAACACATCAATCTAACACAATGTAACAACACATCAATCTAACACTATATAACAACACATCCAACTAACACCATGTAAAAACACATCAATCTAACACCATGTAACAACACATCAAACTAACACCATGTAACAACACATCAATCTAACACCATGTAACAACACATCAATCTAACACCATGTAACAACACATCAATCTAACACCATGTAACAACACATCAATCTAACACTATGTAACAACATATCAATCTAACACCATGTAACAACACATAAATCTAACACTATGTAACTATGTAACAACACATCAATCTAACACTATGTAACAACACATCAATCTAACACCATGTAACAACACATCAATCTAACACCACGTAACAACACATCAAACTAACACCATGTAACAACACATCAATCTAACACCATGTAACAACACATCAAACTAACACAATGTAACAACACATCAAACTACCACCATGTAACAATACATCAATCTAACACTATGTAACAACACATCAACACGTCAATCTAACACCATGTATGTAACAACACATCAATCTAACACTATGTAACAACAGATCAATCTAACACTATGTAACAACACATCAATCTAACACTATGTAACAACACATCAATCTAACACTATGTAACAACACATCAATCTAATACCATGTAACAACACATCAAACTAACACCATGTAACAACACATCAAACTACCGCCATGTAACAACACATCAATCTAACACTATGTAACAACACATCAATCTAACACCATGTAACAAAACACATCAATCTAACACCATGTAACAACACATCAAACTATCAAACTAACACCATGTAACAACACATCAATCTAACACTATGTAACAACACATCAATCTAACACCATGTAACAAAACACATCAATCTAACACCATGTAACAACACATCAAACTATCAAACTAACACCATGTAACAACACATCAATCTAACACTATGTAACAACACATCAATCTAACACCATGACAAAAACTTACAAAAAAAGTGAATGACTGTTTTTACTTTTAGTAAAATTGTTTACTGCAGATATTTCCCAACAAAATCCTTCTAGTCTGGTTAAAGTGTATGTATTTAAAACCATGGAAGGCTTTTAATGTGAAAGGTTAACTGTATAAAACAGGTTGTCTGAGAGAAAAAAAAACCTCTTAACGGAAAACAACAAACTAATCTATCCAGCTGCAGTTCTCAAAACTGATCATCAAAGTTAGAATACATATTTTCATTTTTAGTAAAAGTTACACATTTACATGAATCACCAAAGAGCGTTTTATTATTCTTGATACTCATGTAGCATCTTTTACTCACCAAATCTGACTGAATGACTGAAAGTTTCATCATGTGTTTAGTGAAATGTCTTAATGTCCACATTGTTTGATGTGTTTTAATTCACTCATAAATAATGAGTCATGTAGGCATTATGATAAGTGAGAAAGGTTAGAGAGGAGGACATCTTTAACATGCTTAATGTTTAATGTTCTCTCTTGATGAAGTCAAAATACCTGACCACGTGTCCATTATCAGGGTTCAAGGACAGCCTGGAGCCTGCAGTCCAAACCTCATAGGGGACACCTCATTGGGCATTATTCTGCTAATACCATGGTCACTTTTACAAAAGAAAAACAATAATCACTTTTAATCAATTGCATTTTTTAATAATATATCTTTATGTACTTTAATCCAATGGAAACATTTTCCACTCCAGTAAATAAAACACCTCAGCTCACTTTACTCTGAAAAAGCTAACGCAATGCTAGCACTTCAATGAGAGTCAATAACAGTGTGTAAAGTTGACATACAGTAAATATAATATGGCAGTATGTTTAAGAACAAGATTAGCTAGCTAACCAGCTAATACCTCATCATCCCCAAATCAACATGACAATTTTTACCAACAAATGGTTCGCCATGTTTACTGTTTATTAGTCAGAAGCAAGGAGCTGAATGGTCGGCCATGTTTATTGTGATCTGACTGAAGCAGAGATCTGAATGGTCGGCCATGTTTATTGTGGTCAACCTGAAGCAGAGAGCTGAATGGTCGGCCATGTTTATTGTGGTCAACCTGAAGCAGAGAGCTGAATGGTCGGCCATATTTATTGTGATCTGACTGAAGCAGAGATCTGAATGGTCGGCCATGTTTACTGTTGTCAGACTTAAGCAGAGAGCTGAATGGTCGGCCATGTTTATTGTGATCTGACTGAAGCAGAGAACTGAATGGTCGGCCATGTTTATTGTGGTCAACCTGAAGCAGAGAGCTGAATGGTCGGCCATGTTTATTGTGATCTGACTGAAGCAGAGAACTGAATGGTCGGCCATGTTTATTGTGATCTGACTGAAGCAGAGAGCTGAATGGTCGGCCATGTTTATTGTGATCTGACTGAAGCAGAGAGCTGAATGGTCGGCCATGTTTATTGTGGTCAACCTGAAGCAGAGCGCTAAATGGTCGGCCATGTTTATTGTGATCAGACTGAAGCAGAGAGCTGAATGGTAAACGGTAAGTGAGATGATGCTGATGTGATCTACAGTATAAGGTCAGATGGGCAGTGTACTTCCTGCAGTTTGTTTGTAACAGCGCCCCCTGCATTGTCCCTTTCTTTTCTGTCTCCCTGTTTCTATTTTAGATTTGCATAACAAGTACTTCAAATTAGAACGGCTAACTGAAAGTTTCACTGTCGCCATTGAAAGGAAATATTCTACACCCTGCAGCCAATCAAAATAGAGCATTGACTAAGACCATGGTATAAGTTATAATGAAGGTTTGACTTGAATGTCAGCTTCACTGCAGATCAGTTAGTTTAACACTAAAGGAATCATTTCAAGAAATTGTGTTTGTCATTCTTATGTTTTGGAGTAGTTAGAAACTATTATATATTCATACACATAAAAACGGTATGTTAAAGCTTAAATGGTGCTTATCTTAAGACTGGATGTAATAGGGCGACATGTCTGTAGTGTTTTGTTCTGTATGTTTAATTTTCTGAATGTTCTCTTTATCAATATCTGCCTTTTTCAAAGTGCTTTTTTTAATTTTCTTTTTCAGCAGATTCAGTTTTTTAAAATGTGAAACAGGTGTAAATTTATTGTTGTCAGGCTGACTGTTGTTGAGTCAGTGTGTGCCTCCAGTAAACATTTGTTAAAACTCTGACACTCTGCTGAGGAAATTACTGATTTTCTGATGTTTATAACATATCATTCTTGTCCCATGTTTTATTTAATTATACAGTAAAGGAAAAGGTTTCTTTAATTCTGCTCTCTTGTGAAGCTCAAACATCTCAAATATCTTAAATGTTAACTAAAACACATGTAAGCACCTGTTAAACTGGTATATTATTATTATTATGCCTGTGTATGTCTTCATTATGAAGCTGTTATTTTATTTCATATTGTTCACGTTGAAGGACTGTTCATTGTTTACACCTCTCTGGTTTCAAAGCTAAGACATGTATATTTAAATATCTTTTATATTCTCTGTTTACATGAAGCTCATCTCGGCCTTACTGAGCATGCTCCATGTATGGTTGTGTGAGTGGGCGTGTGTGTGTGTGTGTGTGTGTGTACTTATGTTGGATATATAATCTCCACATATATAATATGACATATAAACTGTAAAGTATATTCATGTAAAGGTCTGTGTAGAGAAACATGTTTAAAGGTGAATGTAGGAAACTGTGTAAAATACCTTTCATGTATATAAAGAGCACAGATTATTTAAAGTGTGAGTGTGAGTGTGAGTGTGGGCACGTGTGTTTGTGTGATTTCTCCCTCTGCGTGGTCTGTCAGGCTCTGTAAGCTAACCTGACAGAACGAAGCAAACCGCTGCAGACTGCAGTTTAGCTTACAGAGTTAATAAGTGCACTCATTCTGAATGTAACATTAACTTAAAAAAAGAAAAACTATAAACTGTTTCTGTATAGCAGCAGCAATGTTTTTTATTTGCAAGCTTTTCCTGTGCCGTTCTGTTGGAGCAATGCTCGTGTAGCAGAGCAACATGTTTGTTACTGTATTTACAACAATAAAGGACTGAAATAGCAACTCCCCATGGGATTTGGTTTTCTTCATATAAATGTTGTTTCTACCTCACATGATCCAGGTCTCTTTATATCGGAGAATTGGATCGCCAATGAAAAAACACGGTTAGGAGTTGCCAGGGCCGCTGATGGAGGACAAGGAGGGGCTTTCTCATGCTGAGCTGAACCAGCACCTGAATCCAGTCCGACTCGACCCCCTTCTCTGGACCTGGTGGCTTGAATCACTCAGCAGGGATGGATGGCCAATGTCACTCAGCAGGAACACGGAACGAAGGTGCTCAGAGGGATTAAGGGCAAAGGGCCCGCTACTGGGACTGTGGGCAGAGTGAGCTATACAGGAACTGGGGCACTGAGGAGTCAGGAGGCTGAGAGAATGAGGCACAGGGAGGCTGAGGCATGTGCTTGTAGATGGGCTGCTGGAATTTAGGCCTGGTCTGAGTGCACTGGTCCCTGGAAATGTGGCAATTCAAATTCCAACGGGATTGATTCAAATCAGCCAACTTCACCTCACTTAATTGGAAGCCATCCTAAAAAGGGTCTGTATGTCATTTTAGAAATGAAACGGTTCTGCTGGGTCCATTCTGGTCAGTCTGTACCGTATCAGGTTTTGAACATTAAACAAAGAGGAGGTCCAGACTTGCAGACTATTATATTTATTAAATATCACAATTAAGACTAAACAAAGCTTGTACCCTGGCTATCATGTGTGGCAGTGCTTGATTATGGTTAAGTAAGGCTTATTCAGAGCATTAATAAAATGTTAATAATGGTTAAGTAATGCTTATTCAGAGCATTAATAAATTATTAATTATGGTTTAGTAAGGCTTATTCAGAGCATTAATAAATGGTTGAGTATGGTTTAGTAAGGCTTATTCAGAGCATTAATAAATGGTTGAGTATGGTTTAGTAGGGCTTATTCAGAGCATTAATAAATGGTTAATTATGGTTTAGTAAGGCTTATTCAGAGCATTAGTAAATGGTTAATTATGGTTTAGTAAGGCTTATTCAAAGCATTAATAAATGGTTAATCATGGTTTAGTAATGCTTATATAACATCAACAATAATGATAGGTTAGGCTGTAAGTTAAGAACGTCTACATGAAGATAAAGGAACAATCTAAGGTCATGAAGACCATGGTGTGGTCCACTGATCTCAACCTTTACCAAAAATAAGTCACCAGTTGGAGGAATGACAAGTAAGTGAACAATTATTAACCTTAAAACAAACACTTTTGTCTTAATGACATGACTTAGCTGTGAACCTCGAGACATATTAATAGTAATATTAGTTAATAGGGTTAATTAACATGTAAACCCTTAATTAATGTTAACAAGAGACATCTGTTAAGGGTTTCTTAATGTTCATTATTGTATGAATTTTCTGTTAATTAAGGCTTATTACTGCATTAACTAATGTTAATAGGATCCTTAATAAGGATTAAATAATGTATTAATTGATAACATAGTTAACATGAACACCCTTAATAAATTATTACTAGACAGATTAGTTAACTGTTAGTAACCATTGCTTAATAATGCCTTTACTAATGTTAATAAATGTACCCTTATTGTAAAGTGTTACTGTGATGTGTTTATCAGGGATTCGTTTGTGCTGGTTAACCAGCTGTCAGATCTCTCCAAGTGGATCATTGTTTGCATGTTCCGCTGTTTTTATCTAACGGGGTGCTAGAGTAGCTCTGCACGTTCTGTATGTTTAAAAAATATCTGAGTTTGGGATGTAAAGAAGAAGTTTATGTTTTTGAATCACCTGCACAAACTCTGGAGTTGTCCTTCAGAGGATGAAATGTTGAGATTGTGGCTATGTGGGAAACAAATGATTCGGTGTTCACACAAAACGCAGGAATAGGCTAACACTGTCAGTGATGTGGGCAGCTCACTGAGCAGTGCCCAGTTTGCCTCTGGGACCTGAATATATTTTTGGGCACTAAAGGCTTTAAATGACAGAACTCGGAGGGTGTAAAGGAGAAAACGTGCACTCTGTTGTCTAAGTGGAGATGGTTTCTGCCCAAATTGTCGTATAGTTAAAGAGTTCTGGTAACTAATTCTACAATTCACTTAGCAGATGTTTTTATCCAAAGCGACATCAAAGATTAAGTACAACACAATCAAGGATCTAGAAAAGAGGAATGTCAGTAAGTTCAAACGATCAGCTTTGAGTCCGATTGGATTGCTAATAACTTGAATTCACAGCAATATTTTTAAACACATTTATATTTATTTCAGACCTGAATCAGTTCATGTTATTGGATGCAGAAAACATTATTCAGCAACATCAACTTTAACCCAAGTCTGCAGGAGGCACCGTGTGGAAAAACAGTGCAGACGTTTCAGTGAAATATAAACTCAGAAGACATCGGGCCGCACTAGGAAGCTCTGTTTATGACAATGTTAAAAAGAAACTCTTTAAACAGTTTTCATACAAAGTCTCACATTTCTCTTTTCTCAAAAATAAACAGTTTTAAGTTCTGCACACACACACACACACACACACACACACACACACACACACACACACACACACACACACACACACACACACACACACACACACACACACACACACACACACACACACACACACACACACACACACACAGATCAGCTTTCTATGTTTTGCTTAAAGCACTGTCTCTCTGAAGACTCCGATCAGGCTGTGCGGGCGTTCAGGGTGATCCGGTCTCGACCCTGTCCTCGACCCCGCCCTTGACCCTGCCCTCGACCTCACCCTCCTGTTTCCTCGATGCTCCACAGAATCGATCGCTGCACAGGTGAAGGAGCTAAGGTCTCCACAGCTCTGCAGGTGCAACAGACCAGGTGTCCTCCTGGGGGGTCGAGGGAAAGTCTGAGAACCAACTTCCTGCTGCTGTGGGGGGTCAGAGTGATGGGGCCTCACCTGTGAGTCACTGAACACCTGAGAGCAGACAAGATCATCATGAACATCTGCATGATAAACACAACAAAGACATCAGTACCAGAATAGCAGTTTGAAATCAGATTATAATAAATATGCTTGTTTAATCTGTCCAATAAAAGTCCTGCAGTGACTCATCCTCCAATGAGCGCTTTCATATCACACTCTGTGATAATGACAGTCCTATCACAAAACTTTCTGATTATCCACAGGTACCTCCCATTTTATGTATGCTGTAAGTGTATTATGGAAGTGTCATTAAACTGAATCTTGAGTCTTAAAAACGCTCACTGCAAACCACATCCTACTGTTAAAATCCAAACCACGTCTTCCCCTGAAGCTGCTACAGGGTGATTTGTAAATCAGATTAAGATCAAGCCAGGACCATTTTGTGTCTGACAGCTAATAACAAAGATGGGCCTGTCAAGCCTCGTTTCCACCAAGCGGTTCGGTTCTGTCTGCTACAGAAGGCATGAGGACCGTTTCGTAAAGACTAGTTCTAAGAGGATGACACTGACAGACTCACATAAGCATGAATACACTCATTTAGCTACTTTGAATATTAATGAGGTATTTACAGCAACAGCATTAACTAGAGACAATCATTACATTGTTAACAATTCACATTACTCCCCGTTACTAAATCATCACCATGGCAACCTGTTTGTGCCAAAGTTATTTACTTATGCACATTTATTTTTTGGAACTGCATCAAGACTGTTCCTTTACACCTCTGCAAGTGAAAAATAGTGTAAACATTAGTGCATTGAAGAGCGGCCATCTTTACTTTCCACATTATAAGCACATCACCGACATGTCTCCTCCTGTAATAACTACTTCAATAATTCAGTTTAGAGCCCTGCAGGGGATAGTTGTCTTAATCCAGCTCCTGCTCACCCCTGCTGGAGGTGTGTCTGTGTGACCTTCTCACACAAGTTACTGCACTAATTCGGACCATTCACTTTATAAACTAAGAATGACAGATAACAGAAAATGGGACATACATTTAAAGAAATAATAATATATGTTCACTTAAGTTAATTTAACCATCACACGACAAAGAACTTAGGCCTTTCATTTTAAACTTTTCTTTCTCTTTACACTTAATTTGTTTTTTTTCCATTATTTAAAGCACTAGCCATCAAGGACCCAAAACCACCCGCATGTGTGTGTTCATGTACCTGCTCTATATAACTCGCACAGCGGACAGCCTCCTCCATATGCTCCTGGTCAGTCTGCAGAACACTGCGGATGCTGTCCACCAGCTCCTGGACCTCCGTGGTCAGACCCTGAGCGGCTGGCTGCTCCAGGATCCGGCGTACCAGCTGCTGGGTGTGTCTGTAGCTCTGGTAGTCCACCATTGAGGAGGGCCGGGGCTGCCGGGCGGACCGGCTTTCCCTGTTGGCCCGTCTCAGAGTGACCTGGGCCTGAGTGGGCGGGGCCAGCAGGGGCTGTGAGGTCTGTGTGGAGGAGTCTGTGGTCTGAGGGGGGTTGAGATGGGCGCCGCTGCTCTGAACTACAAAGAAAAACATGACGTGTCAGCGTCTCTCAAATGATCTATTAAAAAACAGAAACAAGAGACGAAGCAGAGAAAACACACACACACACACACACACACACACACACACACACACACACACACACACACACACACACACACACACACACACACACACACACACACACACACACACACACACACACACACACACACACACACACACAGAAATCACTGTACACACACTGATTTTAGAAACTTAAAGTCAGTGTGTGACTCATGCTTTATATTAGGATGGACAGAGTGACAGCTGCCTGGGAGTGAAACCAAAGAGCTCCCCTTCCTGACTCTCTGCAGTATAGGCCAAGGAGGACAAGGGAGAGCAGCTCACCTGGTCCAGACAACATCAGTGGCTGCATCCTGAAGCACTGTGCCGAGCAGCTAGGGGGCGTGTTTCAGACCCTGTTCCAGAGCTCTATGGACAGCAGCACAGTCCCCCAGCTGTGGAAACACTCCACAGTTATCCCCATCCCAAAGAAAAGCCCCGCCAAATCACTGAATGACCTCAGGCCTGTGGCCCTCACGTCTCTGGTGATGAAGGCCATGGAGAGGATCATAAAACAACACATCATCAGAGAAACCAACTCCCAGATGGACCCGCTACAATTTGTTTACCGTGCAGGCAGAGGTGTCGATGATGCAAAAACATTCATAATAGACACTGTTCAAAAACACCTGGAGCACCCCAACACCTCAGCCAGACTCCTGTTTGCAGACTTCTCCTCTGCATTCAACACCCTGCAGCCTCACATCCTGGCTGACGAACTTTCAACTTGCTTCCATCTGAACGACCAGCTTATCCTGTGGATATTGGACTTTCTGACCAACAGATCACAGAGAGTTCTGGTCAACAACACCTTCTCCAACCTCCAACACACCTCAACTGGCTCCCCTCAGGGCTGCATGCTCTCACCTCTGCTCTTCATCCTCTACACCGATGACTGCAGAACCACACAGCCAAACTGTCACCTGGTGAAGTACGCAGACGACACAGCTCTCCTGTCTCTGCTGTCAGGCCCCTCTCAGCACCATGGACCAGTTCTTCAGGAGTTTGTGGAGTGGTGTGACAGCTCCTGCCTCGAACTGAACGTGAGCAAGACCAAAGACATGGTGGTGACCTTCTCCAACAAGCAGAGGGAACTGGCTGCAGCTGCAATTACCACAATCCACTAGTAGAGTATAAATACCTGGGTACCATCTTCGACAGCCTGCTGAAATTCTCCTCCAACACAGAGGAGATTCTCAGGAAATGTCAGCAGCGAAAATACCTCCTAAGGAAGCTCAATTCCTTTGTAGTCAGTAAAAACATTCTTCTATCTTCCATCATTCTACAGACCTTCTACTACGCCTTCATTGAGAGCATTATTACATTTTCTATAACCTGCTGGTTCCACTCCACCACCCTCCAGAACAGAAACTGCCTGCAGAGCACGGTCACAGTCTGCTCTAAGATCATTGGACTACCTGTAAGGACTTTGACATCGATCTATGAGTAACAGACAATCAGGCTAGCAGGTCAGATTATGCAGGACCCCTCACACGCTCTCTTCCCAGCGTTTGAGTGGCTCCCCTCAGGACGCTGGCTTCGCTGTCCCTGCTGCAGGACACAGAGGAGAAGAGCAACCTTTGTTCCACGGGCTGTCCAGCTCCTCAACTGCTTATATTTTGTATTTTAAGTTAAGTTTAAGCTTTAAGTTGTATTTAAATTGACACTTTATATTTAGGTTAAAATGTTTCGTCTACTTGCACTGTTGTTATTTTACTGCTCTGTGTGCTTTTGAATTTCCCCCTGGGGACAAATAAAGTTTTTTTAATTGAATTGAAAGGCCATAAGCTCCGCCTCCTCCATGTTAACAGATGGGAGACAGCTAAAAAATATAAAATCTACCTAAAAGTCAATTGACTGTATCTCAAACTCTGTTTTGTCATTATAGTTAGTTCTCATCATGCTGATTTATGTCCACGTGTTATTCTTATTAGTTATTTGATGCTGTAAAAAGCAGTATAACTAAATCGAGTAGATGTTACAACATGAATGTACTGAGATAACCTTTCCAACTGGAGTGCTGTCCCTCTTAACATCTGGCATAAAAAAACTAAAGATCAGAAATGTGAAAGAATTTCATGAATAGTCACAAAGTACCAGACCTCAGCAAGGTCAGTGCTGGAGATTGTGTGGTCATTTTCACATCTTTTGAGAGTGCCCTTATATACCTTCTTACTGGGTGGATGTGGTGACCGGGATCAGATCAATTATCTTCACAGAGCTTGATTTCACATTTAGTATGTTATACATAGACTGTATATATTAATGTATGAAGCCTGAGTGACGTCACCCATCGGCAGCAGCTGCCATGCTGGAAATCCTGTCTCAGCCTAACTTTCGACCTAATGACAGGCTGAGAGCTGGAGCTGAAGCAGGTTTTAAGCATCATGACAAATGGTTACATTGTGCAAAAAAGAGGTACTGGGGCTTTAGAGGACCACAGACTTTTACACCCCTGTATAGCCCATCTAGGTTTTCTTCTCTCTTTTTTCTCTCCCATATAAATGTTTAGAATGTCAGATGATGTGAAGCATTTCTTTTGTTATAATCACCCTGCCTGTCTTATTATGTGTGGACTGTTTGTGTGTTATAAAATAAGAATAAAATGTTAAAAAGGGACGTAACACCATGATTGACAACTATTTTGACCAATGAGGCGTCTGCAGCGTTGTGTGCACCGTATTATCAGAGTAGAGGAAGAACGGTCAGAGGAAACGTAATGAACTCACAAGAGTCATTGAACTTTCCATAAATGTGAGAGTCTGCTTTAAACCAACACAAGAATCTGTTTTGCTGTGGACTGTACCCTCATGAGGGACCTTTGACCTTTATCAGGAAGTTATGTGTGTCCTTTGGTTAGAGGAATGTGCAGGAAGTCAACACGACAGATCCACCAGTCGGAGCACTGAGTCTACAGTCAATGAGTCCAGCTGTTCGGAGTGGTGATGACCTGATAAATGTACTCTGAGTGTGTCACAGTATTCTCCTGATCTCACACACCTTTAGCAGCCAGGTCCATCAGCACCGGGTCACTGCTGGACCGATGGATCCTGGTTTTCCTGCGGGGAATCAGAGCAGGAGAATGCTGCTGAGGAGGAGTACGAGGAGAAGGATTACGCAGCTGAGGAGGAGGAGTACACTGCTGAGGAGGAGGAGGTGTTGGAGGAGGAGGAGGAGGAGGAGAAGGCTGCAGCGGGGGGTTGGCCGGAGGAGGAAGACCTCTTGGTGGAGATTCTGAGTGAGGAAAGTGAGCAGACATTAAAACACACCTGCTGTTGAATAGAAGGTTTGTGTTAAAATCAGAGGGTTTACTTTGATATCAGAGGGTCCTGACTGAATGGTCTGGATTTGTTTGGACCAGAGAAGGTAGGTGTTTTAAATCACCCCCACACAGCCGTTTTGGACGCCCCTCAGGATACCAGATATGAGACCAGTTATCACGGAAAACAAAACATGTGTTGCAGTGTTGGAAGCGGGCAGGTGAACTGGTTCAGATATAACTGATTCTACCCGACCTAAAAAGCCTCTGCATGTTTCTAATAAGCTCCAGGAGCAAACACTAAGATGAATATTGGAGATGTCTTACAAAAATGAAGAGAGAACAGAGAAAGGTTTCAAGATCAATGCAAAGCTAAACACTGAAGCTTCTGTGTCCGCGTCATGGCAACCCACATGCGTATCGACACTAGGGAGTAGGGTGTGTGTGTGTGTGTGTGTGTGTGTGTGTGTGTGTGTGTGTGTGTGTGTGTGTGCGTCAGTTACCCTGAACAGAGGCTCCAGGTGGAAGGGGGGTCATGGTCTCCTCTGACACAGAAATTTGGCACTCCTGAAATTCAGAAATATAAATGATGAAATCATTTTAGCACAACAAGAACAGATTGACTGGATTTTATGGGTCAATTAAGTTTAATGAGTTCTTGCTGCTCCATCCTATCAACATGCAGATCATGAAGAAAACAGACTTAAGCACTCCTGTGTTGTTATATTTATTAATTGCCACTGCCCTTTTAATTAATTTAGGGTTTTCCTCTGTAATTCATTTTAACATTCAAACATGACTTGTTTGTGTGAAGGTTTGTGTGGCACTGCTGACTGTAAAACAAATTGCTCCTCAGGGATAATAAACATATCATAGATCCTTGAGACACAGTTACATCCACATGGTTATTGTTTAGAAATCAGATTCTTTATCCCACATTGTTTGATGGCTGATTTTTTTGTATCTGAATCTGAATAAAGTATTTCTCTTCACCGTCATGATTTCGGAGTGAACGCAGCAGCAGAATGTTTCTGTGAAGACGTGATGTGTCCAAACAGTTAAGTAGAAAAATAATATATTTTCATAATAATAATAATAATGATTATAATATTATTAGATTGGATTGATATAGTTCCTTTCAAGGGAGCCAGAGAAGCTTAACATCAGTGGCAACAATCACACCAGCGTACTCTCAGACGATGTGACTCTCAGATGTGTTGTGAATAAAAACAACCAAAATGATGATTACAGTGTGTATCCTGTGTGTATTCTACAGTCTTTGTCAGGATGACAGAGGAAGTCCTTTTGGTTTTTTTTCACATGGCCCCTCCTCCACCTCCTGCTTGCTGAGTAAAACTGTTTCTACTTTTTATACCCTGATAAACCAGCATTCATTATCCTGGTTAGTTAAAGGTGTTACTGAAACACACCTGTGTTTCTGTGTGGGTGGAGCTTCCAGCAACAGCTTCGTATGGAGGGGGAGGGTCCAATGGACAGAAGACCTCCACCCCTTTTATCCGAGCACCGTAGATATGAGGAAGAGGAATCACACTATCCCCGAGCATTCTGACAAAGAAAACACAACACAACAAGCACACATCACAAACACACAACACACACACAGCACACACAACACAAACACACAACACACACACAGCACACACAACACAAACACACATCACAAACACACATCACAAACACACAACACACACACAGCACACACAACACAAACACACATCACAAACACACAACACACACAACAGTCATGAATAAATAAGAATGTTTTACCAAGCTAACATAAATGCCACACGCAGGCTAACAGTAACACTACAAAACAAGCTAATAAAAAAAACTACAAAAAAGTTAACTTCCAAAAAGCTAATATAATCAAAACAAACAAGCTAAAATTAATATAAACAATTAAACATCAGGGAAAATATGCCAAAATCTGCCAAGGGTTTGTTTTGGTACTTCAGGTGTAAAACCAATAAAGTTGATACAATCATAAGGATGTCATACAGGTGAGTCCCAGTAACGGAATACACGTCTACCTGCGAGCTAGGCGTGGTGTGTATGAGTAGAAAGTAGAGAAGTATGACGGGGGAGGGGGCGGGGCCACAAACTCATCAGGGTCCGGCACCTGGGCAGCCTGTTCCCTGTCTTCCACTGTGGCCCTGGGCTCGTCCTGTCAAACAACAGGAACACATGACTTCACACATCATGTTAAATCATATTATATCAGATGACTCGTGACCTGAACAGGTGACTGACTTGTTTCAGGCTTCATGCTTAGATAGCAAACTACATGTTTACTGTAGTTCAATATTTAACAAACTGGTTCAGTTCAGGTGTACATGACGTATATGAACCTGTTAGATCAGATGTGAATGCAGTGATTGTGAACGTACCATGCAGGGGGTCCTGCTGGAGAAGATCTGCAAGTATCGGAGAGCGGCTGCCATCAGGCACACAGCTGTAGTGAGAGCGTTCAGAGCACACAGTGCAAACAACACTTTCTGAGGAGAAAACAGAAACCGCAAGGTCAAATCTTTTTGTTTCAAAGTCACTATTTAGATATCAATGTGTTATGGTGTAAGAATACATTTCCCAGGATCCTCTCTGTTTGTGTGAAAAGGTTTCCTCTCTACCCCTCAGATTCTCTACATTTCCTCTAACCAGCAGTCATGATAGGCTGATAGAGTGAGTGAGGACGCGAGTAAACAACGCTGACAGCCTTCATTATGGAGAAATCCAGAGTTTCATGGCTGTATCTGACTCAAGTGACACAATATAAGCCACAAAGTAGCTGCTCTGTGTTGTTCTCCGATGTGCGGCCGTGGACTCGCCCGCGGACTCGGTCGCGTGTCTATTTTATTTTTGTATTTATTTTTGGCTGTGTCTGATTAAAATGACTTAAAATAAGCTGCAAAGTCAGTAAAGTAGCTGTCATGCTCTCTGTGTTGTTCTCCGATGTGCAGACACGGACTCGACTGTGCGTCCCTTTTTTTTCTCTCTCTCTCTCTCTCTGACTGTTTGTCAACTGAGCACGCTTCATAATAACATAAAGCATGCATGCGTTGTATTACGACGTTATGTACAAGAGGTTATCGTGCTTAAGCACGGTTAGTCCTGGCCAGTGTGACTGCGGGCCGTGCCAGCCAGCGTGGGAGTGGCGCAGCGGGGGGCCAATCGTGCTTGAGTCAACACGATACAGATGGCCAGTGTGACCGCGCACTTATATCCCTTCACACAACTGGCCTGTATCATAAACTATGAGTTGAAAATCTACTCCTACACTGTGGAGGGCAGCATGACACTCTACAGAGTACAGCCTGCCGGAATATCACTTGAAAAAGAAGATGTTTGTGGGGGGGGAAATGTTGTTTAATATTCTGGAAATGTGGGAGCTAGGATGACAATAACTGGCACAGATTTTAGGAATGTCCAGTCAGTGTGTGTGTGTGTGTCAGTGGCATGTGTGTATCTGTGTGACCTTCAACAGAAACCTCATGGTGCTGCAGGAGTGACAGTATAAAATATGCCAAATGTGTGTGTGTGTTAAATGTGTGACCTTTAACAGGATCCTCATGGTGCTGCACGAGTGAGCAGGATGAAGCTCCAGCAGCTTCTCCTGTGGACACTCGGATGTCGAAGACACAGAGCAGCAGTAACACACATCTCTAGCTTCACTCTGAAACACACATGAACAAGAGTGAAGACACACGAAGAAGAAATAATAGAGGACAATGTAAAAAAAAAAAAAAGGTTACACACAAACAGCCTCACCAGTTGGCAGCTGGTCAGACTGGAAACCAGCTGGGCTCCCTGGCAGCACAGGATGAATCCGGCCAGATTCAGGAGCACACACACGACAGACAGCAACACAAACACATTCACCTGGATGAGGGGGGAGAGGGATTATTAAATGCAGAGGATATTTGTCTAATACATTAAATCAATGATGTAAAATCTGAGACAGACCGCAGAGACATGAGATGATTTCAAATTAGAATAAAGTCCATCTGAATTCACGATACTTTAAACTTTTCTCACTCAAAGTTTTGTTTAGTTATTGTTCACGTGTTCATGAGTTTAAATCGGAAATATCTTTTTAGTCAGTGTTTGATTTAAGGCGTGAAGACAAAACACATGGACACCAGACAGAAGAAAATTCACCTGACGAACAAAAACACACCTGTGAGCAGGTAAACTGTCCGATGATAGCTTTCAGTTTTTATGTTAAAGCTTTTTTAAAACCCGAAGGCTGACAGGACATGGATAAGGATTGTAACACATTTTCATGTTTTACACCCTGACAGACAGCTCACAATGAAAGAAAAACTGAACAAAAGATCTCAGAGGTAATTAAGAGCTACCTGCTAACCTTTTTACCTCCCCTGTTTACCTGCCTGCCCACCTGTGTGCTCTCTGCCTGTCACTATTTATCAGAAGAGTCTTTCAAACTGAAAAGAATGCAGCTTCAGGTCAGCTCACAGGTGACTCTTCACTCTTCTCCTGAGCAGTACTGATTAGTGTGTAATATCCTGAAACATTCAGACTGTAAGCTCTCCAGCAAACACAGCTGAACTCATGTGAGGCTTATTCTAAGAAGTAAGTTCAACATACCAAGGTGATCTTTAGGTTTTCTCTTTAGTTACCTTTAGTTATATTTAGTTCCATTTAGTTATCATTAGTGACGTTGATTCATCTTTGGTTATATTTAGCTATCATTAGTTATCTCTTAGTTATGTTTAGTCATCTTTACCTTTAGTTGGACTTACTTACCTTTGGAAATTTTAAGTTATCTTTAGTTACCATAAGATATCTTTAGTTAATTAAGTTATCTAAAGTTACCTTCATTAACCTTTAGTTATCTATTAGATAAGATAATTTAAAATGAACATATTATTCTCCTTTTCAACAAGTTTAATAAATCCACTCTGATCTGTATTTGAGCATGCCTATAAACCCCTCTATTTCAGTCCTGCTCAGAACAGGCTGTTTCTGTGTCTGTAGCTTTAAATGTAAATGAGCTGTCTGACCACGCCCCTATCTTGAAGGTCTACTCGGTTTCGGTGGCTCAGGTTTTCTTATACCATGTCCTATTGTTTACAATGGAAAGGCAGACTCAGAGAGCAGAACAAACACCTCGCTGTGGGAGTGTCACCCACCTGGGGGAGGGCTTACTGCCCTTTGTGATGTCATGAAGGGAAAATCTCCAAACGGCCTGATTGGAGTGGAGCAGGCAAAAGACGGAGAGGATGGACTTCTCTCAAAATTGAGGGGTTTGTAGACAGACTAGGGACACATACTAGTGTTTGAAAAACATGGTTAAGTGTATTTTGTATAATATGTGACCTTTAACAGGACTATAGATAAGATCGCCTGGGTATATTTGAACTCACTGACTCGTGTTGATTGGTGATCAATAATCAACTTTTGGTTTCTTACCAGAAGCAGCATGGGCCTCCTCCATGTGGTGAGTCCAACCACACCTGATAGAATCACCTGAAAAAACAAAGATAATAATGTTACACAAAATAAGAAGAAACACATATCCAACAACATGTAAAACAATCAGGTGAAGTAGTTTTATATTTCTTAATTGAATTATAATAAAATATGTAACTGTACTAACCAACAGCTTGACACATAACATTCAGTAATTTTTATAAACTCAGAGTGAATTAACATCTTTAACAAGGTTTTTGTTTTAGGTGGTCCGTCAGACACTCAGGGACAAACTAACAGAAAGTGAGTTTATCTATAAATTAAAGTTATTATCACCCCTGGTTTTTATTCTCTGTTAAATATTGACTTCTCACATTTCTCAAGTTTAGGCCACTTCAGAACCATTATAATTCAGTTTTTCCTTTTTCCTCTCCAACAATTATACACACATACTATAATGTAATATAATATAGACCTACTATAATAATGCAGTAATAGGCCTATAATAAAACCCCTTTAACATGTTTTACATCTGATGCAATAATGCAAAAAATACACCATACACCTACTCAATCACACGCACACGCACACACACAGTACTAATATAAACCAGACAAAGTGACTTCAGCTCATCTGTTTTAGAGATCAACAGCTGGTTTTGTCGTCATTTCCGTGTTTAAAAAGGTAAACACTGATAATACTGTATTAGTGTGAATCTGTGAACACTTTAAGGTTACTTTATGATTTCTAGAACACCAACTTTTCATGACCTCCTCCCCCCTCCCCCTTTAACCGTTTTACTCACCGAGGAGCCGGCCCAGAAGGGACATGCGGTCCGGACGGGCGGGGACCCGGACAGGGACAGAGCTCCGACGGACAGAGCCACCATGGAGCCCCCGAGCAGCAGCTGCAGTAAGCCCAGAGACAGCAGCGGCCGCCCGGGCAGCAGCAACCGGGAGCCTCCGCCGCTCAGCCGGGAGGAGGCGGAGAGTCCGCGGGGTCTGTTTCTGAAACACGGCTCTGCGGTCACCGGACAGCAGGACCCGGGCAGGACAACCGGTAGAGACATGGGAGGATGAGAGGACACCGAGCCGTGGCCAACACGAGAGAGATAGTGAGTTAGCACAGGTTAGCACGAGTTATCTCCTGCAGCTCTCCCTCCTCCATCATGGAGTCCAAGCTGAACAACATGCAGGCTGGAGATCCACTTTCACATAGTTTGGCACGGGTCGGGGGGGGGGGGGGGGGGGGGGGGTGGGGGTAGGGGTGGTGGGGGTCATGTAAACAGACTCCTCCTGAAATACACCGATCACATGATCATATGGTCACATGATCACATTTAGACTGCAGAACTCTCTCTCTCTCTCTCTCTCTCTCTCTCTCTCACACACACAAACACACACACACACACACACACACCCACACCCACACCTTGAGTTATTCTGTTTATAACATGGAGGGAGAGGCTTAATGGAGGAGGGCCGTAAACACTAATCTGTGATCTGTGGGGGAATACAAGGAACCCCATACACACAGCAGCTTCCCTCCTCCTCTACTGGCAGGTCAGACAGTGTAGGGTCTAGCAGTTGGATGAGTGGTCCAGTTTTTTTTTATGAGAGGAAGTAACAAAATGCCATAGTAAACTGCATATTGTAAATGGTAATGTCAAAGTAACATTTGCTATGGAGACATGGAGTGAGGGAGGCTACAGTGAATGTGAGGAGTCAGCTAAAAGATGACATTCTTACGAGCTTCTGGATGTAATTGGATTTTGTGATCCAACAGTGAAGAAAAAGTTAGCCAGCAACCCGTCAAATGCCAATACGTTCACCATGACATTCCAAATGAGATATTTGTGATGAGGTGAAGGATGCTGAGCACTTTTCTGTTTTAGTGGATGAAAGATGTGAGCAATATCACAGATTTCAGTAATCGTGCCGTATTTGAAGCTGGTGTGCAGGAGGAAGTTTTGTATTTCACTGCTGCAGATGAATTTGACGCTGACTCATTGCTATAGCCAGCATCAAGTGCACACTCAGTCGTTGTAATATAAATCTGCAATTTTCTGTAGGCCAAGGATGTATGACGGAGCATCGTTAATGAAGAGATGTAACAAAGGCGTGCAGGAAAAGTCCAGAAGGAGGTACCACATGTGATTTATATACACATTGCCATTAGCTTTGTGTTAGTAGACTGTGTGCATTAACTGCTGCTGCAGTTTTTTGACACAAATACTGTACAAGTTTTTTTAAGTCAGGGGTGCCCGATAAGTGTGTATGTAGGCATGCTTGTATATGTACGTTTAGCCAAATATTACACTTGTTGTTTTACATAGAAGGAAATTTCAAATGTTGTGGCACAGGTGTTTAATTCACATGTGTGCAATTCACACACTCCAAACAGAAAAGACCTTATCGTATTTACACAAATAGGGTTTTAGGATTTCCCTCCCTCCTCTCCACCATGCGTACAATCCATTCATTTTTCCATCCTTGTCCCCTTCCCACACTCCAACTGATTCTTCTTCTGGACCTTTGGACCACCACTCAACTTTAAACTCCTTTCTAGCACCACCAGTTCCCAGACTGGAAAAAAAAAAGTCAAGCAGCTTTGAGCAGAGGTAATGAATGTGTAATTGAGCAATAAGTGGTCTAAGTGTAGGTCGAAATGAGGATCGTCAAGGCAGAGAACCAGGTAAACCCTTACACTCCCTGCACACATTCATCCCAAATGTAATATCTTAAATATATTAAAATGCTGAAATAAAAGCTTAAGTTATAAAGTAATAAACAAAATTAGATTTAAAAATACTTATTATATTAATACATTTATATTTAAATGTAAATATGGTAGAGGAACTCCCTTTCAAAAAACTCCATTCAACAACTATTACTAAATATAAAATACAGCTCAAACATTAAAGAGAAAAAAAAGACAATAAACACCTTCACTCAGTTAACTTTTTTCCTGGTCACTGCATTGAAGTTCTGCAAGAGAGCTGTTTTGATTTTGCTTCAGATGATTTCTATGGTTTCTATTTTAATGGTTCATTAAAACCAGAGGTTTGTAATTTGCTGCATATACTCTCCTGACGTTTTCTTTGAGCATTCGTCCAAATCAAATTACTGTCTAATCCTATAGGCTTTACATTTTATATTCCTTGTGAAATAAAATGTGTATGATTGGTATTGGGTTTTTTTCTGTCTCTCCTATTTAAAGTTGCATATGGTGCTGGCACTGATAGCACCAATTGGATCACCCTTTCCTGAGTCTCATCAAAAATGTAAGTTACGTGATTGAGCAGCCAGGGGTCGCTGTTGAACTTTTTATTTTCTAAGACCGTATACTACAAGATATCTTTAAGGTTTTTGTTCCTCCTAAAAGCTGTGATTACTCTGAAACTTTTGAGTGGTTCACAAATCTCCAGTTTACAGTTGGACAGGCCTAAGCAATGAAATAAGTTACCGCCATCAGTATAAGCGAGAGGTCATGCCCATCATTATTTTTGAAAGATCTGAGTCATGGACAGGATCTTTAAAGTAGAGTTTATTAATTTCTGTAAGGAAATAATATTTACAGATGTCTGGATTCTAAAATTGTGTATTTACACATATAAAGACAGCTGTATGTAACAACTACACAACCACTTGGCACTGAAAAGGTTTTTGATTGTGGACTATGGAATTTTGATCCAACATCTGAAATTGCTGGATATTGACAGGAACTGGAACATCCCAAACATGCTCAACAGGTGACATGTCCTTCTGAGTATGCAGGCCATGAAAGAACTGGTTTTTTTTAGCTTCCAGGAATTGTAGGGTAGAGTGGGTTAAGATGAGCCAAGTGGGTACGTTGACCCACCCCCTGTCTCTAGGCAACTATGCCCATTTCTTGTCATGAAGGGAATAACTTCTCAACAAGTTCTTAACATTCACAAAGTTGACATCAGCAAACCAATTAGCCACACTACGCCATACATGCTCCCTGTACCAGGATTAAACCGTGAAGTGAACACTTCTTGAAAGAGCCAGATGCCATTAAAGGAGAGCAAGTGTCCACTCAAGTTGGTTACGAAGACAATCTGCAGTAAGGTCAGGACCCCGTTGAAGACGACAAGCATGCAAAATGAGGTTCCCTGAGATGATTTCTCACAGTTTGTGCAAAGATTCTTTGAGCAAACCAATTGTTTCATCAGCTGGTGCCTGGTGTCTTGCATGTGGAGGTCCTGGGTTGGTACGGTTACACATAGGAGATGGCTTATGGTAGAAAAATGAACGTTCAATTCATGAGCAACACCTCTCGGGGACATTCCTGAATTCAACATGCCAATTAGTCGCTACCCCAAAACTGGGGGCATGTGTGGCACAATAGCATTGTGCTGTGTGATAAAATTGCAGTGGCCAATGGTAACCATGCCTAAGGTATACCTGTGCAATAATAATGCTGTCAAATCCGTAGGCCTATCTTGATAGACATGCCTATCAAGTGGGAGAATGGTCTCAACAAAGGAAGTGCTCACTTTTCTTTTTTTTTTAAAGATTTATTTTTAGGCTTTTTGTGCCTTTAATGGAGAGACAGGACAGTGGACAGAGTCTGAAATCATGGAGAGAGAGAGGGGAATGACATGTGGAAGGAGGCCACGGGTGGAAGAGAAGGCAGGCCTCCCGCTCGAGATGACAGCCTCGATACATGGGGCGCGCTGGTGGCGCAATGGTTAGGGCGCGCGCCCCAGGAAGTGCTCATTTTTAACCAAAATTACAGTAAAGAGAACATAATTTGGGAGGTGTGTCTGTGTGTGTGTGTGTGTGTGTTTGTGTGTGTTTGTGTGTGTGTGGGAAAAATAATATTAGCCTACATGTTGACATAAATATGTGCAACAAAAGCATTTTCAGTGGCCACAGGCATGTTCAGATGTGCCCCCTATCTCACACTTTCATTCCTGATTTTGGAATGTAGTTCTGAGAGTTTAATTCATCATAGTTTCTCTTTGAAATTTTAACACATGTCTTACAGTTTGTCAAACTTTGAAACACATTTCCAGAAACTGTGGCTCAATTTCTCAAAACTCTAAACCCAGTAGAGTTTCAAATTCACCAGCTACCAGAGTGCATGAAGAGTTGAAAAGCTTGAAGAGGTCAAAAAGCTCCAGCAACACTTGTAGTATGAAGATCAATGTCATAAACTTTATCAAAGGCCAGATCCCAACTTTAGCTCTAATAAGTCTTCAAGATACAAAAAGATAAAATACTGTTTTTACAGTATTCATCACTGCAATGCAAAGGGATCAATCTTCTTGAATGATACGCGTAACATTCAAGTGAGGCCTCTTTTCTAATGTGACACATGAATGCAGTGTTCTTCTGGTTGAGTTTACGCAGATACAGCATTTTTGTGAATTTTGAAGACCAGTGCTTCTAGGTGAACAACGTGTGTTAAACGATGAAACTGTGTTCAGACTTTTGCCAACCTGTGATGTAACTGAGCTTTGATTTGAAAAGTTTTGGAGTCATGAGCTTCAAGTTTAATTTGTGTGTGTACAATCGGGGGAAATGTATTACAGTTTTTCTCAGTCGCTTTGGTACATTTCTCGAATCATCCTCGACATTTGCTAAACTGTAAGTGCATTTCTCAAAACAATTTGTACAAATAGCAAAACACCATGAATTACCTGCAAAAGCCAGTCTCTTGCTCAAAATCCTGAGTTCATCTTCCAAAAGTAAATATCTGTGTCAATGAACATGTCAGTGCCATCAGAATGACAAGTCCTTCTGTCATTGTGTATGGATAAGACAGTCAATTTGCTTAGTCATGTTGTCAATATAACTGTGTACTCTGGAGGGGTGTTCTGATATAAACTATGGCTGAAGTTCTGATTACAATTATTGTAAATTGTAAGTTACACCTTAGTGTATGTGGGAGATTGATTGCAAGAGACTGGACAAGATTCACATTTATGCTTTTACTGTTTGTGCTGTAATTTGTTGACAGACCATGTCATTGAGATACATAAAGGAAAAGACAGCACTGCATAGCACAAAGAAAAAAACAAAAGTAGAAATGTGAACATAGGACAGTCTCCTTAGAGAAAACTGTACATGCAGTGCTGTAGGAATTACAGTGCAGTCTTCCTACACCTCCTGACGTTCCTGTCTGTTGGGCCACAAATTCTCATCCACATCACAACGAATATCTTCTCTTGCGATGCAGCGTTGAAAGAATCTTT